GCTGGCTCAGGGCTTCTGAGGACAGGTGCCAAGCTGGGCAGCCGCCGTGTGGCGAGAGGGTCCTGCCCTGCCTCTGGTTCCCAGCCCCATCTTCCCTGGCTTTTGGGGCGGGGGTGTCTCCGAGGCCAAACTGGGGTCGCACCGTGTGGTCTGGGCCTTTTCCACAGAGACCAAGCACCGATTCTGGACTTCCTCTGTTTTTTCTGCCCTTGCTGGGCTCCACCGGGAGGAGGCCCCTCCGGATCTTTCTGGAGAGGGATCTCTGCCTCCTTGCGCTCTTCTCTTAAAACGTCTCTCTCGGGAGCCATTCCTTGCCAAGCCCGGGACTTTTCTCGGCTTGCCCGTTAGACAAGGCGAGCTTTGGAAGTAGCAGCTTGGAAACTTGCCAGATTGTAGGGCTGGGAGGAATTGGCTCCTCCCTCCCCATTTTGCCTGGAAGGAAGCGACGCCTGGCCGAGTTGATTCTGATGCTGCTAAGAGGCTCTACAGAAGCCGAGGGTCGCCAGGTGGCCTCCCATCCTCACCCCTGTATGTTTTTTTTTTAGGGTTTGATGTAAATGTGGCAATGTTTGTTTTAATGAACAGCGGTGTTAATGAGGGAAAGGGGGCAAAGGATGGGGCTGCTTTGGCACATCTTAACCCAAGAAGAGCCGTGGAAACAGGCGAGGTGGCAGGCACAGAACTTCTTTCTCCTGGCACCAGATGAGAGGACAGACGGATGTCAAGCCGGGGAGGCACATTTCTGCACGGAGGCTCCCAAACGCCTTGCCAGGTGATGTCCTCATCCTTTTCGCCGGCCCGGAAAATGAAGGGCAGGTGCTGAGCGGCCGAGCCCTCGCAGGCAAGCCAGGAGGGTGCTCCCCGCCTCCTGCTGTGCAGCTGCCAAAATGCTGGGTGCGTCCACAGGGGAAGGGAGGTCCCTCTCTGGCTCATGCAGGAGAGGTGCGTGAGCATTGCCTGGCGGTGGGGAAGCAAGGGCCGTCTGAAGGGCAAGGTCGAAGCAGGGTCTTTGCCTCATCGTGGCCTCTCTCGCGGGCAGCAGCCCGTCGGGTTGCTTTGCAGAGGGTCACAGCCTCTCCCCGGTCTTGGCACGGGAATGGAGGTTCTTGGCCAGCGGAAGGTGGAGGAGCGGCCCTCGTGGATCATGGGGAAAGGGGTACCAAGAGAGCAGGGTAGCATTCATAGCCATGGCTGAATCCCTCCAAATGTGTTCTAGCGCACACTCAGGTGGTCTGTTTCAGCATTAACAGCAGGGTTGGCAACCCATGAAACATCCCGCCGATGGGGAACTCTTCTGTGGACAAATACTTAAAAAACCGTAGCGTGGCTGAATCCCCCCCCCCCCAAATCTGTAATAAATTCTGCTAAATTGCTGTTACTGTTGTTTTTGGAATGTCCTGGGTTCCCTGGGAGCGTATTTCCTTTTGAAAAGGCATTTCGTAGGAGAGCAATAGAAGGGGGAGAGAATGGATCTTACTGGGTGAAGGAATGCAGATCCGCCTTGGGGTGTTTACGGAAGATCCTTGCAACTGGATCTCAGAAATGTTTGAGGCCTTCAGAGGGTTGGTCTCATGGAGGTGGATGTGGGCTTTGGACTGGCATTTTGGTAAAGGGGCTGGACTTCATTTAGACACAGCGGGCTCTAGTGCTTAATCCAGGGTTTCTCAGTGCTGCTCGTTCTCAAATTGCTGAGGTTGAGAAACTGGTTCGGTTCCTCGGCAGAGCTCACGGATGTGTTTCCTGTCCACATTGCTGCTTTACCCGCTCCCCAAACAAAGCTGGTTGAGCTTCTATTCCTCTTTAGTCAAGGCAGCGGCTATCCCAACCATCAGCACCAGCACTATAGCACTACCTCCATAAAAACAAGATGACACCAACCAACTTGGGGGAACCACAGAGGATGTGGAAATGCAAAATGTTAGCAAAAAGTTGAACAAAGCAAATGCCAACAAGCTGAGCTGTTGGGGTGCTGCGTGCCTGCAGGGGGGCAGAACCAGAGAGGAACAAACCGGAGAGGGGAGGATCTGAACGGTGGAGCGCTCGGGCACCGCGCGTGGGCGGCCGATCTCTTCTCTTTGTGCCAAAAAACCAAGCAAATAAAGACGTGGAAAATAAATTTGTGTTTGAAGAGTCCTCTGTTTAGACTCCCGGCCTGCTCCTTCTGCCTGAACGGGGGAAAAGCAGAAGAAATCATCTTTTCTCAAACGGCCCTTTGGGGCTGAAAATATTTAAGGGTTCCTTGGAAGGAAATAAATGCACACGGCACAACAATTCTGTTGAGATTTGTTTCGGACTTGTAAAAATTGCACATTTTCTGGCTTGCACAAGAGCATCGATCGCTTAATGGCTTTGCCAGAGTTGCAAAAACCAGCATGTGAGGCCTCGCTGGGGCTTTATGGGGTTTCGAAAGCCGAGTCCGAAACGGAGGCGCGCAGCCTGAGGGGGCAGCGCGGGGCGCGCCTTCGCTTCGC